TCAAACCTATTAAAACTGAATTTGTATGAGTGTCTCTTTGCTTTTTATTCTACTTTATATCCAACTGTTACTGAATCCTTTCAATTCCTCTTTTTCAATGACTTATATTTCTCTGTTTTTCTATAAACATTTTAAAATTTTGCTATAACATAAAAAAATTTAAATGTTCTATGTTGTTAATACGTACTTAATATAAGGATTTCAGCAGTCACTGGTATGAAAAGTGGAATTTATCTCTAACACTCAAATCTGTGAATCACTGTTATTTTATTTTTCTAGTTAATGTTTAAGTCTATTTATTTATATATACATGAAAATCTGCTTACCTAATGATTTTATTTGCTCTTTTTAATCAAAAAAATATGTATCGTAGATATGTGGAAACATATAAATAGATCTTATTCTGTTTGAAAGTTAGAGTTACAATTTAGTTTTTATTATATTAAAATATGTTTAGCACATCTCTGATATTTATATTTCTATTGTTGCAACGTTACAAATAATATCTTTTTTACATTTTTGTATATTTGATTTTGATTCTATAGGATAGTTTTCTAGAAATAGAACAGAAGATCAAAAGAATTATATATTGAAAATGTTGATGTACCTTGCCCATTATAATTCAAAAAGCTGTGCAAGTTTACCCTCTGACAAAACATGTATATACAACATTTCATATTTCCCACTGTCCTGTCTATCACTACATACTATAATCTTTGAACTCTTTTTTATCTTGAGAAAAAAAGATGGATTATTATTGCTTTAATTTGCAGTTTGGTTGATTATTAGTAGGCTGAGTTTCTTTTCATGTGTTTTACAACCAAATACAAGTCCTTCTGTGAACCCAATAATGTAAACTTGATTAAACAATAATTGGGTACTACATGTGCAAGTTTAGAAATTATAAAGCTAAGAATCTTGTCATTCTCATAACAAATTTAGAGAATTAGTATAGATTCTTAGCTTTATAATTTTGTTAAGTAATCCCTCCAATCTTGTCAGAGGGGTTATGTAACAGAATTACCTTAGTTTTCCGTATATGCTCTGCCAGTCTCTCTTCATTCTCCTAGTGTCTTATCTGCAGCCCAAGCTACCTCGTATCTATTAAAACAGCAGCTAAGCATTAGGGATAATACTGTACCTATATATCATATTTTCTCTTTGTATAATGAGAAAATGCCTTTCCCCTTAGTGTTATTAAGAGATTAGTGATTTTATGAAAATATGCTGTCTGCTTGTGTTTTCTGTCTAAAGTTCACTAACACCTTTGGACCATCACCCGACTGTCACCAATCAAAGCACATCCCAAATCCTTCCTAGATTCTCTTTCTCTGCTTTACTCTCTCTTCTTTCCCTTCTTCTTCTTGGTTTTATCTGCTTTTTTTTTTCTTTTCTTTTCCGTGAAACTCCCTTAGATTGGTCCAGTCTATAAACATTTCTCCCTCTATTTTTTTATAGGACGTTTGATTTCACCTGCTTCCTTGGGTCATTTTTCATCTTATTATATAGAATGGTAATTTTTCCTATATTATTAGGGGTCTTTAGAATGTTTAATGCTTAACTCCTAAATATTTTATATTTTCTCAAAAGTAGATTGTCTATTACTTGTTCATAAAACACTGTCACATCCTCAACAACCATAAGTTACACTTTAATGAGAATAAAATTATAATCCTCAAACCTTTCCTTTAGAATCTATTGCTATCTGCTCACTTGAATAATTTGTTCCATCTATATCCCACTTAGCTTAGTATTTGTAGGTTTTGCTGCGGTAGTAATTTTCTTCCATTCTTTTCTATTGGGATTGAATTAGACCTTCATGTTTCAGAAAGATGAATAGAACCATGATCAATTAATTTACTTCATCTCCTCTGCAGGATAAAAGCCGTTTGCATATAAACCAGTGGTTCCCAATACTATTATTCAGAGAAGACAATAGTATTAGGAACCACTGGCTCTCTGAATTCTTCTGATGGAGATACTGAGAAAAATATTCATAGAAACTGAAAATAAGAGGGTTGAAAGACTGTCTTGTCACTGGGTTGTCTATGGGTTGTATCCACTTATGTCTAACAAAATACTGCCAATACATCTCTCTTTCATATGTCTTAAAGCACATTTTCTCTAGTGGTTTGTGTATTTTCAAAGCATATACTTACTCTTGAGTACCTCTCACTATGAAACAAACAATCAAAAGCTCAGTATGGACTACACAGTCCTCTCTTTCCTTCCCTCTTCATTAAAGGGTTTTGAAAACATGTTGAGAGCTCGCTGTGCATTCTCCACTCCCCATCCACAGTAATGCTGACTTGGCTTCTGTCTCTTCCACTACTTTGAAAATGCTATCACTGAAATCATTAATGCTTTCACATAGATGAATCCATTAATTATTTTTCTGCATTATTTATTGTTTCTGCTACATTTGCTGTTGCATATTCTCTCATTCACATACCCAGCTTTCCTCTTACCTCCTCTGAAACTGTTTTGTTCTGGTTTTATTTCAAATCTTTTATTGCTTTATCTTGCACTCCTGGATGCGCCTCCCTAACATTTTGATATTTTCAAAGATTTGTTCACAAACCTTTAAAATTTTTGACTCTATTTATAAATTTGCCTAAGACCCATAACTTTAATGTATATTTACCTGCTAAATATTTGCAAATTGTGAATTCTAGTTTCCGGTAATAGTAGGCTACATGATTCAGATCAGCTAGTGTATTCCACTGCAAGCCTATACACATGCCAAAAATGACAAAAATTGCCTTTCTTAAATAATCAAAGTCCTGATGGCATCATAGTCAGAGTTTTTATGATCATAATTCTCAGATAAGATTTGAGGCAAAAACAAAACAGGAATTCAAATACATAAGCAGAGCACGAAAATTATTATTCTGTTAAGAACATTAAGCATTTATGTAATGGCTTTATCCAGAACAGGATGTATAAACCAAGGCAAAGGGTCCATATAAGATTGGGTTCTAAGAGAGACATCCCCCACTATAACCTGGGCACTCATGGGGATGAACCAGGAGTAAATCAGCACTATGTGGACTGGCAGCTGAAGTTTGCCTTGTCTGGGTAGATCATGGAGTCTCAAGTCAGAATTTGAGACCCCAGCACACTCGCAGATGTATTTCACAGAAATACATACAAACTACTCTGAAGATGTTTTCTTTATTCTACACATTATATTATTCCTATATATAATTTTTCAAATACACTGAGCTGCAGTGTCAAAGATCACTATCAAACAAGCACACAATCAATCAAATCTATAGGTGAGAACCTATAGAAACAAGACAGCAAAATAGACCCACTATGTTTTCAGATATCAGAGCCATCAGTTATAGATCATAAAACAATTATGCTTGATGTGTTTAAAAAATAAAATACACATTCAAAATTATATGCTGGAAAATGAAAACTGTAAAAATGACAAGCCATATTTGGAAAAGAAATAAAACACCTATAAATTAAAGATGCAATAATAACCAAAATTAAATATTTGCGGGACAGGTTTAATGACAGATTGAATGGATGATTTGATCATTAAAACCTTGACCAGAAGGAAGTATCCAGAATGTAGTACCAAATGCTCGCATGCCAATATGTCCAATTGCTTTTCTAAGTGTACACACTTAGATGTCCCCTAGGTATTTCAAATCAATACACCCAAAATTGAGCTCATTCCTTTTAAACTCTCTGGATCTGATCCTTTACTCTCCAGATGTAATACTTCCAATTTATTTCCTCTCTTGGTGTTTTAGACTAATCTGGCCTGTATCCTCATTATTTCCACTTCACTCAGCCCCAACATCCAATCATTCATCAGATCCGGTGTAGTCTCAAGCACCAGGATCTCCTGTACCTGTCATCTGTTGCCTAGCCCCAAGAGTAGCTCTATAATCATACGCCTCTTGATCTTTTACCTACAGGACTGCAATGTACTTATCTGCTAACACTCTTCTAAAATGCAGATCCAATCATTTCAATTCCTTGTTTCTTTCTAGCAATGTTGGTGAAAACATTTAACCTTTAAGTGGCTTATCTAACCCGGCCTGCCTCTTTTACTTCATTCACTGTCACTCTACCCATGAATATTTGCTTTCATCATACTAAATTATTCATATTCCCCACATGCATCTTATTCTTTTTTGATTCTTAAATAGTTTTTGTTTATTTTCCTTGAAACAGCTTTCTTCATTCATGTTCTGATTTTCTCGATTAATTGCTTGCCTAATTTAGATGCCCTACTATTGCATTACCATGGTTCTCTGTAATTATTTATCACACTCCATAGTAATCATTGGGTTGTGTGCTCTTTGCTAGATTGTGAGCTCCATTAAAGAAGATTCTCTCACGTTGTATCACTAGCTTCATGCTCAGCACCTGGCATGTAATAGACAGTCAATAAATAGTGAATGAATATATATGTTCATTTATAATAATATGCAAGTAATATTATTTAAATATTTATTTTGCTAATAGGTGTTTGGATCATAGTTCTAGCTAGTCTAACATTTTTATTTTATACTCTTCAGGGGGATACAGATTGTACAAAGAACTACTGGAGATACATAGTTTATTGCAAAATGTAGAGGATTGTTATGGTTTGAATGTACATGTCTCTCCACATATGTCTTTTTAAATTTTTTTCAAGAATAAAGTGGAAGCAGGCTGGTGTGGATCTTAGTCTCAGTGGTCCTGGAGTGAGAGAAGAGGTGGAAGGGGTCCAAAGTCTGGCTGCTGTTTTCAAGGGAACAGCCTGGGATGAAGAGGAATGGGTGCAGAGTGAGCAATGGTGTGGCTTCATTATCCCACATAAGGAGGCTGGTTAGCAGTGGACAGTTGTAGCTTGTCCTAGATAAAAACTTAAAGCTGCTTGGGCTTAAGTTGGCATCTACCTGTGTCAAACGCTGGGACTAGGGCCCCTAAAAGCACTCAACTAGTTCTTTTCCTTCTTCACTCCCGGGATGGTTAGCGTAGTCAAAGCAGCCCAGCTGGTTTGCCAGGCAAGGGACTCTCGTTGGAGACACCAGAGGAAGCTTTGGAACCGCTACATTACAGGTCCCTATCCTCAGTGTGGGGACAAGAGGAGTGGAGGTCTCATGTCTCCCTAATGGTTCTGGCTCATACATGGCTAATTATTATGAGGTAGTGTGGTGTGGCACTATCTAGCTGTTACTTTCTTGCCTATTCTGCTGAGTAAACAGGAGCCCTGTCGTAACTGGGCTTGAACTCTGTTCCCTAGGGAAGGGCACTGTGTCCCCAAGTCACCAGAGAGGAGGGGCAAGGGCAGGGTTGGCATCTCCTGTTCTAGCAATCCAAGCCAGCTCCCCACAACCATGGCCATCCCACATACTGATGTGAGCATGGAGCCTGGGGCACCTATTGGCAAAGTTGAAGCCTTTTCCCCAGAGTCCTGGCAGGAGGCACCCACCAGCTAGTACAAAGGCTAAGGCCAGAAAGAAAGCACAAACAGAGACAACCCAGTACTCAATGTGACAGTACTGAGAGGTGGGGCCTGTTGGGTAGTGATGGTCATGAGTGCTCTGCCCTCATGAATGAGATTAGTGCTATTATAAAAACAGGTTGAAGGGAGTCAGTGCCCTACTCCACTTTGCCCTTCTGCCTTCCACCATGTGAGGATGGAGCAACAAAGTGTCATCTTGGAAGAGCGAGGGTGAGCTTTCGTCAGATGCCAAACCTGCTAGTGCCTTGATAGTGGACTTCCCAGTCTCTAGATCAGGAGAAAGACATTTCCATTCTTTAAAAATTACCCAGCAGAAGGTATTTTATGATAGCAGCAGGAACAGACTGAGACAAGGAGGAAAATTCTCAAGGGAAGATTTAGCATTAAAGTATGAGAATGACCTTTAATATCATTACTCCTGCAATATGCATATTTGGACCCAGAAATACTAGATATGTTCTAAGTTTCAGAAGAGAGGCTGTCACTTATCAGCTTTTCATATTTACAGGGTTTTAGGGAAAAGGAAGCAAATGCCTAACTATACAAAATGAGCATTGTCTAGTTGTTATGGGCTGATCGTGTCTCCCCAAAATTCATATGTTGAAATCCTGACCTCTGGTACTTCAAAATATGACTGTATTTAGAGATAAAGTCTTTAAAGAGGTAATTGAGTTCAAATAAGTTCATTAGGGTGAGCCCTAGTTTGATGTGAATGGTGTCATAAGAAAAACAGACAAAGAAAAGGCTTTGAGAAGATACACAAAGACAAGGTGGCCATCTATAAGCCAAGGAGAGAGGCCTCAGGAGAAATCAAACCTGCTGATACTTTGATCTTGTACTTCTGGACTCCAGAGATGTGAGAAAATAAATTTCTTTTTTTTTTTTTTTTTTTTGAGACGGAGTCTTGCTCCGTCACCAGGCTGGAGTGCAGTGGCGCAATCTCGGCTCACTGCAGCCTCCGCCTCCTGGGTTCAAGTGATTCTTTTGCCTCGGCCTCCCGAGTAGCTAGGACCACAGGTGCATGCCACCATGCCCGGCTAATTTTTGTATTTTTAGTAGTGACGGGGTTTCACCATGTTGGCCAGGCTGGTCTAGATCTCTTGACCTCGTGATGCACCCACCTTGGCCTCCCAAAGTGCTGGGATTACAGGCGTGAACCACTGCGCCCGACCTAAATTTCTGTTTTTAAAACCCATATGGGGTAAACCATACAGGGTACTTTGTTATGGCATCCTTAGAAAACAAATACACTGGCCCAGGAAATAACCTTATTATTCAAAGGAAAGTTAAAGTTGTCATTAAAGACCTTGAAGCTCTCTGTTGAGCCAGTTTGTCTGTGCTTACTCTTTGCTAGATTACCTACAAATGAGAGCCCTGGGGGCCACTGAGCAGAAAAGGGTTAGTCTCTGCCCTTACCCAAGTTACATGAAACACATTTTAATATAAAGGAGAAATTTTATGTGTATATATATATAAAATATATATTTATATTAGTTCAACATATGTTTTAATATATATTGGATTACTTTATTATTAAAATATATTATTTTAATATGGTATATTACATAAATAATAGAATATATTCTATGAATATATAACATAAATAATGTATGTTATTTTTATATATTTTTAGAAATATATTATTTTTATGTTACACATATTAATCTAATGTTTTTATTTTTTCTGATTATTCTATAAGAAAATGTCTTTATGTTAATATTTTTCTCATTTAAAAACTTTGATTTTTAATTTATAAGGATACATAATAATTGTACATATTATGGGGTACATGTAATATTTTTATATAAATATGCAACATACGATCAAATCACGGTAACTGGGATATATATTACCTTAAATATTTATCATTTGTTTGTGTTAGGAATGTTCCAATTTCACTCTTCTAATTATTTTAAAATACACACTACATTATTGTTAGTCACCCTATTGTACTCAATATTATTATTTAAACTGTATTTTGTACCTATTAACCAGCCTGTTTTTGTTCCCCTTTCCCCATTACCCTTCCCAGCCTTGGGGAACCATTATTTTCCTCTTTACTTTCATGAGATTAATTTTTCTAGTTATCACTTATGAATGAGAATATGTGATATTTATCTTTCTGTGCCTGGCTTACTTGGCGTAACATAATGTCCTCTAGTTTCTATCTATATTGTTGCAAATGACAGGGTTTTATTCTTGTTTGTGGCTGGATAACATTTCATTGGATATATGTACCACGTTTTCTGTATGCATTCATCCACTGATGAAAAATGAGGTTGATTCCATATCATGGCTATTGTGAATAGTGCTGTAATGAATAAGGGAGTGCAAATATTGCTTTGATATACTGATTTCTTTTTTTTTTTTTTTTTTTGGATACATACCTAGCAGTGGGATTGCTGAATCATATGGTAGTTCTACTTTTAGCTTTTTGGGGGAATTTCTATATTGTTTTCCACAGTGGCTGCAATAATTTACATTCCCATAAACTGTGTGTGAGCATTTCCTTTCTCCAGGTACTCATCTGTATCAGTTATTTTTAAAAAATCTTTTTGATAAGAGCCATTTTAACTGGCTGAGATGATATCTCTTGGTGGATTTGATTTGTGTTTTTCTGATGACTAGAAATGTTGAGCATTTTTTCATATACCTGTTGGCCATTTGTCTGTCTTCTTTTGGAAGATATATATCCAGATCTTTTGCCCATTTTTAACTGCTTATTTGTTGTTGTTGTTTTTGATACTGAGTTGTTTGAGTTCTTTATATAGTTTGACTATTACTCCAATGTCAGTTTGAGTAGTTTGCAAATACTTTCCCCCATTCTGTAGGTTGTCTCTTTACTTTATTGATTGTTCACTTTGCTGTGCAAAAGCTTTTGAGCTTGATCTCATTGCATTTGTTCATTTTTGCTTTTCTGGACTTTCATTTTGAGGTCTCACTTGATAAGCTTTTGCTAAGTCTAATGCCTTGTTTCCTGAATGTTTTCTCCTAGTAGTTTTATAGTTTCAGATCTTATATTTAAGTCTTTAATGCACATTGATTTTATTTTCCTACATGGTAAGAGTTAAGGGTCTAGTTTCATCCTTCTGCATATATTTAGTTTTCCCAGCCTCATTTATTCCAGAGGCTGTACTTTTCTCAATGTATGTTATTGATATTTTTATAAAAAATGAGTTGGCTATAAATATACAAATTTATTTCTGGGTTCTCTTTTCCGTTCCATTGTCCTATATGTCTGTTTTTATTCTGGTGCCATGCTGGTTTGGTTACTATAGTATTGTAGTATAATGTGAAGTCAGGTAATGTGATGCCTCTACCTTTGTTCTTTTTGCTCTAGTACTTTGGGTATTCTGGGTCTTTTGTGGTTTCACATAAATATTTGTGATTATTTTCTCAATTTATGTGAAGAATGTTATTGATATTTTGATAGGGATTGCATTAATGCAGTCTCAAAGATTGATTTGGGTAGTATGGGCATTTTAACAGTATTAGCTCTTCTAATTCATGAACATGGAATATCTTTCTATTTTTGTGTCCTTTTCAATTTTGTTTAATTTTTTTATACTTTTAATTATAAAGATCTTTCTTCTTTTTGGCTATTTATTCCCAGGTATTTTATTTTATTTGTAGCTATTGTAAATGAGTTTCCTTTTTGGTTTTTTTTTTGGATTGTTCACTGTTAGTATAAAGAAACACTACTGATTTTTATATGTTGATTTTGTATCGGCAACTTTATAGAATTTGTTTATCAGTTCTGTAGGATTTTAGGTGCAATATTTAGGCTTTTATATCTACAAAATTATGTCATCTGCAAGTAAGATTAATTTGATTTCTCCCTTTCCTATATGGATGCCCTTTATTTCTTTCTCTCGTCTCGTTGCTTTAGCTAGGACTTCCAGTACTATGTTGAATAAGTGTGGTGAAAGTGGGCACCTTTGTTTTGTTCCAGATCTTAGAGGAAAAGCTTGCAGTTTTTTTCCCATACCAGCTATGGGTTTCTTTTTAATCTTAATTAGTGATAAGAGTTTAAACTATTTTGAATCATTATTCACCAGCATTTTTCCTTTTTTGAAATAGCATTTAAGTTATGCTTGTTTGGTTGAAAAAGCAGTAACCGACCTTTAAAAAAGAAAGGAATTAATTGTAATGTTATATGTAATAAAGACTAGAGCTAGAAATTTTTAGAAACAATAAAATTTGCCAATTTCTCTGCCTAATCCTGATTCCTCTACACATTTTTTATGCTTGTTTTTTCTTCGTATATTTTGTTCACTAATGATTTTGGTTTTGTGGCTTTTCTTTCATTTTATTTTAAAAGTTTAAATACACAAAAATAAAGCTAATTGTATGACCAACTTTCATTTACCATCACCTAGCTTCAACAATTATTGACTTTGCCGATACTGTTTCACATTCCCCTTATTTTGTGTGTGTGTGTATGTACACAAATGTTCCTGTATTATTTAAAAGCTAATCACGGTTATCGTATGTGGCTCAGAACTTTTTTCTTGATATAACTTTCATGTCATTGTAAACATCTGGGTATTAACAGTAGTTCATTAATGTCATCTAATACCTAGTTAACTTAAATCACAAAGTGTATCAGAGATGCTTTTGAGTTTGCTGATTTTTGCCTCGTAAAGTTGTTTTTCTTCTCCATTCTCATTAATTTCTGTAAATTGATAGAGCTATAGGCTTGATATTTAGGCAAGAATTCATTATGGGTGATCTTTTACTATTACATCATTAAGATAATGATAAATAGTTTTAGCACTCATTTACTTATTTTCAAATGGTAATGTATTGTTTTCAAATGGTAACTTGATCTTCTGTCTTTATTTGCAGAAATTCTATGAATAAGAATTTTACTACATTAACCATTTGGCACTCCGCATTAAAACATAAAGGAAAATAAACAATGAGTCAGTGCTCTAGCAAATTCAATGGTGTCCAGTGATCTTTATTTTTTTGATGCAATTATGTTATGAGCTTTTATATACTTGTATTTCTATTTGTCATAGTCATTATTATTTCTTTCTTCTGCTTAAATTGTCCAAGTGGGGGGAGGGCTCTGTCAAGTTATTTTTCTTCTTTTGTCATAATCTGATTAGACTTTTAATGCTTTTTTCCTTTCTACATAGCAGGATAACATAGCCTCACCTTTTGTTTCTAAATACTTTCTATTGGTGTAGTGGGCTATTAACATTTTCAAAAGAAATATCACTGATGTATTTTTTTCTCATACTTGCTGAAATTTAAGGTTTCAAGTTTTACTTAAATTCTTTGATTTTATACTTAGATACTTTTTATCTTTTGTGGAATACCATGGTTCTTAACAACTTTAAACAAAAGTATTTTATCTACAACCCACCTATTGTGATAGGCCTACTAACTGTAAGACTATTCAATGGAGTTTAATATTTTTTAAAGTTATTTGTATTATTGGGCTACTTTAGGCATATATAGAAAAATATTTTACTTTCATTTAAGCAATATTTTTCTCTCTGTGATTTAAAATCATTATTATGTTAGATACACTGTCCCCTTACCCCACAGTTTGGATTGTTTATGTGATTTAATTTTTAACAAGTAAAATATTTACCGAGTTTCAATGTTAAAATAGTAAGTTATAATTCCATAAAACTTGCTTTTATCCTTGTCCTTCCATCTGCTTTTCCCATCAGTTGTAGGTAACTTGATTATGTTTATATATTTCCATACCGATACTTAAAAATATGGAAAATTAATTAGCAATTTGGAAACAAACACTTTACATCATGCTATACACCTAAATAAATGCTGTAATTAGTGAATAGGAACATGTAAAAATAAAATTAGTTAATTTCAACAAATGGCATTTAATGCTGATTGAATTCTGAAAGAAGAAAAAAAATTAACCATAGAAGCTTTAAAACCAACAGAACAAATGTGAAAACAAAGAAATTCTGTCAAAATAAATTACCTAGTTAAATGTTAAACATTGTTATATAATATTTGGTAATAAATGTAACAAAATAAATTATAAAATATAATAGGTACCATTTGATAAGTACTCTTTTCCTGAAAATTTTATAATCATCTTATTTAATACTCAGCATTCATAATGTTCATTTTAGTATGTTATTTTATAAGGGAAGAAAGTTAGTTTAAAAGGACAAATTAACTGCTAATGTATCCTCCAAAAATGCACATGCTGAAGCCTCAACCTCCAATGTGACAGGATTTGGAGATAGGACCTTTATGGAGGTAATTAAATTTAAATGGGATCTAAGGATGGAATCACCAGGCTTCTGGTTTCATGTGGTGGCCTGTCTCTTCCTTGTGGTCCAGCTATATCAGCAAATCTAGTTCTAGCAGGTGTCCTGGCCCCATATGGTGTCTGGGTCTCTGCAGAGGCCTAACCTCTTCAGAAGGAGCTGGTTCTGTGAGAGCAGGTGTCTCAAGTCTCATGGGTTTCTCATAAGCTAGGAGTTTATTGAGATGGCCTGGCTTAGCAGGGTCATCTGCTTCAATGGGGTATTTACATCCCATACCAGGGTGGCCTAGCTATCTTGGATGCTCATCTGAGGCTTTATTAGTGGTCACAGTGTAAAGGCATTTTGGAGGCCTTTGTTTCTCCATAAGAAATATTATGTTCCAGATTTGCAGGTTTATGTGCATAGAGTTGTTTGTAGTAATTTCTGATGGTAGTTTGTATTTCTGTGGGATTGGCAGTGATATCCTTTACCATTTTTTATTGCATCTATTCGATTCTTCTCTCTTTTCTTTTTTATTAGTCTGGCTAGCAATCTGTCTATTTCATTGATCTTTAAAAAAAAAAAAACAGCACCTGGATTTGTTGATTTTTTTGAATGGATTTTTGTGTCTCTATCGCCTTCAGTTCTGCTCTGATCTGTGACCACAGGTGAGTGTACTACCTGTCGGCACCGGTTTCCTCCTTGGGAAATCAGAAGGTTGAGGATGGCTGCCTTTTGCAGCTTATATAAAGCCCTGATTTGATACCTAGCTGTGGGAGGTCTTGGCCTGTTCTGTTGGAGGATATGTAATTGGGTAGCCTTGCAGGAATCAACACTTGGTAACTTCAAGTTTCCCCCATTGGGCCTAAGCCAGGGCCAGCAAATTTTCTATAAAGGTCCAGAGAGTCTCTGTCACATCTACTCAGCCTTGCCATTGTTGCTCAAACACAGTCCAGGTAATAT